TTCGGAAGCAAGTTTTTTTCTACTGTAGTAATTAAAATTAAAATGTGTATTTTAGATAAGGGTGGTCTTTTGAAGGATTTATTTAAAAAGCTATGTCTGAAGACCCAAGCATTTAAGGCTAAAGATGAATATTCAGATTGTGCATCTAAAAATCTATGCAAGGATTTTTTAGAGATGTGATTTTATAATCTTCAGCAACACACTAATGAAATATTTTTAAAGGAAATTTTAAACTAAGCTCTTGTAGACTAACATGTTCTGAGTAAATATTACAGTAACGCACAACTGTTTTGGTCAGTACATTCAGAAACTGACAGTATATACCTAGAGGTTGGCAAATGCGTTAAATGGCTTCATTACCACTTGACTGGCTCTGTAACAGTTCCAATGTTGTGCTAATAAGTCTGGCGGCTGGAGGCTTTTTCACTTTTAAGTTACTAGTTCCTCTCCGGAGGAAGACTCACCAGGCAGCAGCAGCTGGCTGTGGGAGCCTGCAGGAAGGTCAGAACAGGGATAAGAAGAGGCGGGAGGGTGGACACCAAGACCCAGGGGTGCCCAAAATTTTCAGGTGCCCTACGCAGCCATGTATGCTGCGTATGCCGAAGGACGGCCCTGCATTTCTGAGCCTTTCTATTCCTAGTGCTGGCATAGGCCCCTACTGCATTCATCTTGCTAGAGTTTGACTAATATTTGGGTTTTTTCTCTTATAGCCACACACAGACAGATCAGTTCTCTTGCTTCCTTGTATGCTAGCCCTACAAAATGTTTAATGCTTCATAGTGTGATTCTCTGCAGACTTGTATGCTGAACAGCCTACTCACCCTCTTCCTGCTGCACTAGTGAACATGCTGCTCCTTATTTCACAGGGAAAACCCCAAAGCAAACAGATATTAGTACTGGGCCTGGATGGAGCAGGGAAAACCAGTGTTCTCCACTCACTGGCCACAAATCATGTGAAGCGAAGTGCAGCTCCCACAGAGGGCATCAACGCGGTGTGCATCAACACTGAAGAGGCCAAGATGGAATTCTTAGAAAGTAAGTGCTTGCATTTTAATAAGTAACATAAGGAAAACTCTCATTATACTTAATGGGAGCTTTGCTTTAGGAAGAACGCTTAGACCCTTCATTTTTTTAATGCTTTATTTAGGAAGTTTTAACAAGTTTACAGATCCTTGCCACATAAGTATCAGAAACAAAATAATCATTACAGCAGCGAGTTTTTTGTCTAAAGAGACATTATACAGGAATATAGTAATCAGATCTTTCTGTTTAACAGGGTGAGCATCATTACAGCACCTACAACATGTAGTTTCTAGTGATTTTTTTAAATTGAGTGAAATCTCTCTATACACGTATTTAACAGACCAGGCATGTCTATCAAATGGTACTATTAAAAAAATGGACGGGGGTGCTGGGTTTTTTGCAATATTTTTTTCTGAATAAAAGGTGACCAAATATCTGTCTGTCCTCTTTCTATTTTGCTGGGTACATAGTTGGTGTCTTATTTTTTTTATAACCACAACCTCCCTTTTTTCTAACCATCCCTCTATAAACCCTCCATTTTTAATCCTTCCAATTTCTGAGATGTGCTATCACACTGTCCTCTGGGACACTGTGAAGACACTACGGCTACAGTGCTTACTAACGGATTACATCTTTCTACATTGTTCCTTGCTTAAGAAAATACATTGGCATCAAAGTGCATGCGTGTGTGCACATATGCTAAATGGAAATATGGAGCCAAATTCATTTCTGGCATAGCTTCAGTGAAGTTACACTAGGGATGACTTTGGCTGAGTGTGAGGGAACGCTAATGTAACCCCAGACAATGACACTGTTGAAGAAAGTTGTGTTTTACAGCTATGAATTAGTGTGTTTCACTAGAGAACGTGTCTAGCTAAGTATAGTGTTGGGACGAGGGCTAGGTAGTCACTCTAAGGCTAGGACAGAATAAGGAATCTCTGATGTTTGTAAAGTTTTTCCACAGGAACTCTAACTTTTCTAATTCTTAATTACCATGACGCTGGAGCCCCTTTGGACTCTGGCTAATCCCTTCCTTCCTCCAGACAGGGTGGACTCTGCATGCAGACTGAGTCTACAAACAGGAAACTGCTGTGACCACTTTGGAGGTTTTAAAATAGGGTGACCAGATCGCCCAGGTCAAATATCGGGACGCGGGGGGAGCGGAGCAAAAAAAAAAATGGCGGCAGAGCAAAAAAACAACCCCCCTTTCCTCCTCCCTCTGCAAGCGCTGGAGGGAGGCCCCGGAGACACAGGGGGAGCGCGGGGCCGGGGTGAGTGAGAGTCCGGCCTGGCCCCGAGCGCAGGCAGGACTCAGTCGGGCGGTACCTGGAGGGTGAGTAGGGGGGCGGCCCACGGGGCCAGGCGGCGGCTGTTCTCCCCACCTGGGCAGCGGGACTCGGGAGCAGCCACTGCTGCAGCTCCCACTGCCGCAGCCGGAGGAAGCGGCCATGGCGCTCGGCGGCTGCGGCTCTGGCGCCTGCGAACCTCCTGAGCCCCGGGCCTGCTGCGGGGACCCCAGCAGCGCGCACGCTGCACCCAGCCCCTGGCCAGTCGCGTCTGGGCTGCTGCCCAGCTGGTGCTATCCCGCAGTTCGCCCCGGAGGTGGGGGCAGCACGGCCCCACGCCCCCCATCCCGCTCGAGTCCCGCAGGGGAACGAACGGG